CAGCGCTTGCTTCTGCTGCAGGGGAACGAACGGGGGTGGTTCGCTTGAGGAGACAGTCTCTTTACTTTGTGGGTGGCTTATGAGGGCCCCCAACACAAATTTTTCTTTCTCTGTTTATGCGGCAGCCTGCAGTCTCACCTTTACCTAAGAAACTCCAGCAGCAGCAGCAGCAGCAGCAGCAGCAGTAGCAGTAGCAGCAGAAGCAGCAGCAGTAGCAGCAGTAGCAGCAGCAGTAGCAGCAGTAGCAACAGCAGCAGTAGCAGCAGTAGCAGCAGTAGCAGCAGCAGCAGTAGCAGCAGCAGTATCAGCAGCAGTAGCAGCAGCAGCAGCAGTAGCAGTACTAGCAGCGGGAGCAGCAACAGCAGCAGCTTGCTTTGTTTCTGTTGCAGTAGACTATAGTATGTAAACTAGTATATATGTTTTGTTTTTTTTTTTTTATTTTTTTTTGTATCAACCTGAATTAAACAAAACTTAATAAATAAATAAAGAGTAGTAAATATAAATATAAATATAAATATAATATAAATAAATATAAATATAAATACAAAAAGGGGCCCCCCTGTTGGCTCCAAGCAGCAGTGCATCGACGCGCTCGTTGCTTCCTTCAGGGGCCCCTGGCTGCTGGGGAGCCCCCCCCAGGCTGTTTGCGTTTGCTGCTGGGGGGCCCCCCGGGCTGGTTGCGTTTGCTGCTGGGGGGCCCCCCGGGCTGGTTGCGTTTGCTGCTGGGGGGCCCCCCATCATGCTGACGCTAAAAATGTATGTTTTAGGGGGGCCCCTATCGGGCCCCTATCTACAGTGTTGGCTCTCGGGGGGCCCCCTATCAATCTATAGCGGATAGAGCTGGCTGTATGGGGGGCCCCCCTGTCCATCTATTGTTGATGAATATATATATAGTATGAGTGTTTGGGGGGCCCCCTGTGTGGTACTACTGCTGCTGGCTGGGGCTGGGGGGGGGGGCCCCCCTGCATGCTGCAGCCGCTGCTCACTCCTCACGGCCGCGGCGGGGGCCCCTGGTCGTACCAGTACCCTTTGACGAACTCTGTCTGGGGGCCCCCCCCCTAGAAGACTTTGTAGACCCTGTAGAGGCCTCGGTGCTGTCCGTGCTGCTGCCGCTTTTGGGGGGCCCCCCGCTTGTTTCTCTTTCTCTTGTTCTGCGTTTGTATAGAGCTGGTGTTTCTCTTAGGGTTGGGGGGAGGCCCCATATGCCTTCTTTGTTGTTTATTGCTATTTGCTGCTGCCGCCGCAGCTGCTGCTTTCTCCCTGCATACACTGCACCCTTTGCGGTGTATAGGGAGCTCAATCCCCTTCTAAGCATAACATCACTAGCATCATGCAGCAGCGTGGGCTGTTGCTGCTGTTGCTGCTGCTGTTGCTGCTGCTGCTGCACCTGCTGCGGCTCCAGTAACTGCAGCAGCTTTGCCTCTCTTCTCCCCTCAGCTTCTGTTGCATTCTCCCGGGGGGCCCCCCCGGGGGCCCCCAACGCCTGCTGCAGCGCCTCTCGCCCCAAACCCAGTACCTTAAAGGGGTCCTCTACAACCTCGGGGGCCTCCAGCAGCCCTAGAAGCACTTCGCCTGGCGTGGGGGGCCCCTTGGGCGTAGTAGGAGACTCGGGGGCCCCGGGGGCCCCGGGGGCCCCTCCTTTGGGGGCCCCCTGGGGGGCCCCCTGGGAGGCCCCCGAACCGCTTTTTGCTGAACCCTTTGCTGCGGACCCCTTCGTGCTCCCCTTTGAGCTCCCCTTGTTGCTGCTGCTGCTGCTGCTGCTGCTGCTGCTGCTCTTGGGGGCCCCCCCCTTGGACCCCCCTGCAGCGTCCTCTTGGGGGCCCCCTGATGATGATGTTTTTTTTGTTGTGTTTTTTTGTGTTTCTTTTTGTCCTGTTGCTGCTGCTGCTGCTGCTGCTGCTGCTGGTGCGTTTGTAGTTTTATCGTTTTTATTTGTAGCAGCTTTGATAGATGAGCCTTTGGTGGATGTACGGGATCTGTTTTTTGTGTTTGCTGCTGCTGCTGCTGCTGCTGCTGCTGCTGCTGC